AATGGCATTGAGTCCTATGAAAACAATGACACACCTGCCCATTAGCGCTTGGATTTTTTTTCTGTGATTTTTTTCTGACTTTGCTCTTTAAAACTCAGAAGGAATAAAAGTTAAGTAGAAGAAAATGAGAAGTGGTCAGATTTTGTCTTGGTCATAAGACCACTATATATTCGAACTGTTTTTACATGCAACATTAGCGCAGTCATTGCTGGGCATTTACCTCTGTCTGTGTCGTAGAGGAAGACAAATCGGCTCCAGTCATAGTGGTCCAACAGGGACAGCAAAGCTCCTCTGATGGACGGCCGAAGCTGCAGCGTGAACTGGCCCTCGCCTTCAGTGGGGAAGCTGGGTGTCACTAGGCTGATGTGCAGGGCCCCACAAAACGATGTCAGCGTGTTTACTGAACGCTTGTCGTAAAGGCCGAAGATAGCGAAGACCCCCCTTGAATACTGAGAACAGACTGTGGACAGAGAAGAGGTGGAAGATGGAGAGGGGTCGGGGGATAAGGTGTCGGACACAAAAGGGATTCAGGTAGAAGAAGGAAAAAAAGTGGGTAAGTCGACAAAAATACTATATGACACTATATTATACTCAGTGACTCAGCTGCTAGAGAAACGGTCCAAAAACAGCAAGAAGGGAGGATTGAGAAGCCCTTAATTAAATTCACATTGTGGAATCGGGTTTCACATGTGAACCAATTTTAATGAGAGACGGCTTCAACTTGTGTCAGCTATGCACTAACTTTACACTCCTAATTAGACCCACAAACTGCATTTTTTCTTTAATTTATTTTTGAGTTGTGTGTGTGACTGATTTTGCAAATGCCTAATGAAACAGAACAGATCTTGAAAATACATCAGTCATTTTCACATTAGACTGCCTTTGCAAAATGACTTTTATTTCACCCAAAACAGGCCCCAACACAATAGCCCTCCCTGCCACTTCTTATGTACTTCCACATGTAGTTATAAATTACAAGCACAAACATTTGCAGGGGCATGGGTTGAAAACCAGACGCCAACCTAAGCTCCCTGACAAGACATTTTCAAATGCTCACACAAAATCGTTCCCAGTTGCCAAAATTCATGTTGCTTCTTATGCCTTTTTTGAGAAAATTAAAATGAAATCCAAACTCCCAACAGCTTTTAGATCCTTAAGATCCATCTCTGCACACATACAGACATGCAGAGCCAAAAAAATAAATAAAAAATCCGAGACCAAGCCACGAGTTCACTTCAAATATAGTCATTTTCTGCTACAGCACTGCAGCTCAGTCGCCAAACATCCGGAAGCTTTCAAACATGACAGAGAGAAGACTAAAAAGCTCTGACATCTTCCGCTATGTCGCTTCTGCAAAATTCTACCCTCTGCTTTGTTTTGTCATTCATCTTTGTAGCTCAACCAAGAAAAAAGCATTTGGTATGTGAACAGAGGAATCCTCCATATTCTCAAAAAAAGAAGAGGACAGAAATTAAGCGAGTGAAGTCTAAGAAAACTGTGTCATCATTTATTTCTTTTTATAGGATTTAATGTTTCACTTCGGCTGCCCACTTTCTCTTTTATCCTCTTATTCCCTCCTCCTCTTTCTTTTCTAAGTCCCATTCTTCCTTTCTTTCAAACAGCCATGTTTTTAGACTTCAGCTCTACCCTGCATCATAATTCATTCTCCGCCCCATCATACGTCACACTGGAGTAAACAGTAAGGCACGAAGACTGCAGGGTTTGCTTTTGGCAACTGTCAGGCATTACTCTAAATTCTTTCCTGTCTTTCTCCCTCTATTTATCTTCTTGTGCATCACATCACCTCATACCTTTGCCCCTTTCTTTAGTTTTCCAGGCAGATGCTCCATCCATCCTCTCTCTTTCAGCTTCCACCATCATCCACTTTCCTTCATCTATAGCTGCCTCCTCTTCCTGTTCCTCCTGCTCTCCCTCCCCCTGGGACTCAGAGTAATTCCATTATCAGCTATAAGCCTCAGTGGGGGTAAACACTGAGGGAGATGCAGCTTTGACGCTTGGGCTTGTGGCAATTAAACAAAGCTGAGGCCCCTACACCCAGGAGGCGATAAGGCAGGGATTTAGTCTCTGATTATGACAGGAGCTAAATGTCTTCAATTCAGAGAACTAGCATACTAGACGTACTTAGCATGCGTCATTCAGCAGTAGCTGAGTCATGGCGTTCTTAAAGTCAATGTTCTTAGTGTCTTCACAAATGAGTTTTACAACTTTTTCCCAGATTTCGGTTGATATTTCAGTGCACATGAGCGTAACACAAGCGATGCTGAAATGAGGTTGTGTTATAAGATAATAAAAAAAGATTGTACTTTTTTAGTGAAGTGCCAGGAAAGTGCAGTACTTAGAGTTTCATCTATTATAAATGCTAAAGAAAATCCATTTGTATGTATAAATCTCAGTACAACTGGCTTGATTTTGGATGAATTTGTGGTAAAAGGATCAACTATTTTGAGTTAAGGAAAAAACCCAGCAGAATGAGAAATAATAGAACTGAAGCACTGAACATGTGAGCTGACATCCTGGGTAGCAGATTGGAGCAGAGCTCCTGTGCCAGCTGATGACTTCTTTTGAAATTTGACTGAAACTTCTGGCTTAGATGCAGCTTATGACATCACTTGTCTTCAAATTTGAATTTTCCCTCTACCTCATGGGCCTCCATCAAAACCTAAAGAAATATTGATAGCCTTAATCCCAAACCAGTCTATTTTTATACAATACCAAGACAGCTGCAACTATACACACAGGCCCAGAGCACATAACTGAAATCCCACTTTTCATTCATCTGAGCTTTCATTCTTAGCTTCTGTTCTCCGTCTATCGCTTCTTCTTTTTTCTATTCGTGCTTCCTGATGTTGGTTTTGCCTTTCTTACACTCACTGTCTTCCTTTCTCTCTTGATTCCCTTTCTGATCTATGCCTCTATTGGCTTTTTTTTTCTTTCTAAAACCCTCTCCACCAACACCACCCTGCCGCAAGGCTGGAATGTGCCAGACAGTGGCGTCATTGTAATAAAATGTGTGCTAAGCTTGCTTCATAAAGCTTTAATGAGAGGAAGGGACCAGCGGCATGGTACATCATCACCACAGTTAAAGCACTGGACACAATAGGTCTCCAGGGACATCTCCTACATTTACATCTAGTTGCTCCCCCTTCACTTGTTCACGAGCATCTCCTTTTTTGTTAATGTACAGTCTGTTTTTTGATTCTTAATTACTCGCTCTGTCTGTCAAACATCTCTGTTTCTCTGCGCATACCCTTCCATAAATCTGATGTCCTTCCTTTGTCTTCATTACTCAAGCCTCTACATCCACGGCCGTCCATGTTATTCTCTGATTTGTATCTCTGTGCTTATATAGAAAGCCCTCTCAATCATCTGCATACTCTGCAAAATCACTTTATTTCTTGTTTTCACATTCAAATTTGTCCAATTTGCATAACAGGGAAGAAAGAATGTTGCTGAAACAGTACAATAATTCACAGTCTAACAGAGTCGCTCTCTTTGCTTCTGGTGTTGTTTGCTCTTTAACCATTTTCCCTCTCAAATTCCTCACCATGATGCTGATGTCTTTACGACAGCTTCTTGCTTTTCTTTTGTTAACATAGCAGAGAGAATAGATACCTTCTGTAATTACAGTGGGGCAAAAAAGTATTTAGTCAGCCACCGATTGTGCAAGTTCCCCCACCTAAAATGATGACAGAGGTCAGTAATTTGCACCAGAGGTACACTTCAACTGTGAGAGACAGAATGTGAAAAAAAAATCCATGAATCCACATGGTAGGATTTGTAAAGAATTTATTTGTAAATTAGGGTGGAAAATAAGTATTTGGTCAATAACAAAAATACAACTCAATACTTTGTAACATAACCTTTGTTGGCAATAACAGAGGTCAAACGTTTACTATAGGTCTTTACCAGGTTTGCACACACAGTAGCTGGTATTTTGGCCCATTCCTCCATGCAGATCTTCTCGAGAGCAGTGATGTTTTGGGGCTGTCGCCGAGCAACACGGACTTTCAACTCCCGCCACAGATTTTCTATGGGGTTGAGGTCTGCAGACTGGCTAGGCCACTCCAGGACTTTCAAATGCTTCTTACGGAGCCACTCCTTTGTTGCCCGGGCGGTGTGTTTTGGATCATTGTCATGTTGGAAGACCCAGCCTCGTTTCATCTTCAAAGTTCTCACTGATGGAAGGAGGTTTTGGCTCAAAATCTCACGATACATGGCCCCATTCATTCTGTCCTTAACACGGATCAGTCGTCCTGTCCCCTTGGCAGAAAAACAGCCCCATAGCACGATGCTTCCACCCCCATGCTTCACAGTAGGTATGGTGTTCTTGGGATGCAACTCAGTATTCTTCTTCCTCCAAACACGACGAGTTGAGTTTATACCAAAAAGTTCTACTTTGGTTTCATCTGACCACATGACATTCTCCCAATCCTCTGCTGTATCATCCATGTGCTCTCTGGCAAACTTCAGACGGGCCTGGACATGCACTGGCTTCAGCAGCGGAACATGTCTGGCACTGCGGGATTTGATTCCCTGCCGTTGTAGTGTGTTACTGATGGTGACCTTTGTTACTTTGGTCCCAGCTCTCTGCAGGTCATTCACCAGGTCCCCCCGTGTGGTTCTGGGATCTTTGCTCACCGTTCTCATGATCATTTTGACCCCACGGGATGAGATCTTGCGTGGAGCCCCAGATCGAGGGAGATTATCAGTGGTCTTGTATGTCTTCCATTTTCTGATGATTGCTCCCACAGTTGATTTTTTCACACCAAGCTGCTTGCCTATTGTAGATTCACTCTTCCCAGTCTGGTGCAGGTCTACAATACTTTTCCTGGTGTCCTTCGAAAGCTCTTTGGTCTTGGCCATGGCGGAGTTTGGAGTCTGACTGTTTGAGGCTGTGGACAGGTGTCTTTTATACAGATGATGAGTTCAAACAGGTGCCATTCATACAGGTAACGAGTGGGGGACAGAAAAGCTTCTTACAAAAGACGTTACAGGTCTGTGAGAGCCAGAGATTTTCCTTGTTTGAGGTGACCAAATACTTATTTTCCACCCTAATTTATGAATAAATTCTTTACAAATCCTACCATGTGAATTCATGGATTTTTTTTTCACATTCTGTCTCTCACAGTTGAAGTGTACCTCTGGTGCAAATTACTGACCTCTGTCATCATTTTAAGTGGGGGAACTTGCACAATCGGTGGCTGACTAAATACTTTTTTGCCCCACTGTAAATCACGTTGGATGTGCATGAAATTCAAAAACTTAATTTGTTCTTGTTCAGATGACATGATACAATCTAGGAAGAGTGGTTAGTTGCCTGGACTCACGAAATTCACAAGATTACACGAGATGTCAAACCACAGGAAGAGGCAGACAACCATACACACCACGTGTATTGTATGTATTACTATTTATTATGGTTTAACTTGTCAAGGACAA